CCCCCCCGCGAGTATCGCGGGTCCCCTTACTCGTGCTTATCTAATTCCCTTTTGAAGCCGTCCATGCTTGTAGCCGCCACCACCTCCTGTGGCAGTGAATTCCAAGTGTTAATCACTCTTTGGGTGAAGAAGTACTTCCTCTTATCCATTCTAACCTGACCGCTCAGCAATTTCATGGAGGGCCCACCAGTTCTTGACTTTTGAGAAAGGGAGAGAGGAAAAAAGCTCTGCTCCTGATCCCTCATTCAGAATTGTACTATTAAATATTTTCTCCGTATTCGGGCTTCTGATATTAGCTTAAATATTCCTCTAATGTGATTTGTAATACAAGGATCCTTTTGTTTTCAGCCAGAAGAAGATGACGACAGCCCGAGTAGTACCGGCGAATCACCCACAGGTAATGAGTCACACTGCTACCTGTAATGTGCTCAAAGATTCAACTTTTGGTACGCACAATGCCAATTTCCTCATAAGCCGGGAATCATTCCCACCCACTTATTCTGGTGATGTGTTGGCAGCTGGTATCTTCAGCGGGCTCCGGATTTAACTGGATTGCTGAGGTGGATGAAAAGTGTCATTTTCTTGGCCTTTTGCATTTGGGAGGCAGTGAAAACTGCGATTCCTATCAACCTCGACAGGAAGTCTAGCTGAGGAAGACTGTGTGAGGAGTGCTTTGGAAGTAGAGAAGCGTTATGCGGGGGTCCTCATTGTGGTTCCCGTGGATGCCATGGTAGGAAAATAAGAAGAGCCCAACAGTGGTCCTGCTAGTCCAGCCTCCTGTCTCACACAGTGGCCAGCCGGTTCCTCTGGAGGGCCAACAACAGGGCAGAGAGGCCGAGGCCTTCCCCTGATAAAAACATCAGAAGAGCCCTGCTGGGTCAGACCAGTGAGGGTCCATCTAGTCCAGCCTCCTGTCTCACACAGTGGCCAGCCGGTTCCTCTGGAGGGCCAACAACAGGGCAGAGAGGCCGAGGCCTTCCCCTGATAAAAACATCAGAAGAGCCCTGCTGGGTCAGACCAGTGAGGGTCCATCTAGTCCAGCCTCCTGTCTCACACAGTGGCCAACCAGTTCTTCTGGATGGGCAACAACAGGGCAGATCTGACTCGGCCGTTTTTTACATCGGTGTTTCCTACAGTCTTTATGTAAGAAAATTCTCTAGATCATAAATGTTTTATGCAGCATGTTATTCTTCTCATGCTGAGTAGCAGTGAGTGTGAAACAGATCTTGGGGTACGGGTGGACCAAAAGTACATCGGTGTTTCCTACAGTCTTTATGTAGTCAGTAAGAAAATTCTCTAGATTATAAATATTTTATGCAGCATGTTATTCTTCACATGCTGAGTAGCAGTGAGTGTGAAACAGATCTTGGGGTACGGGTGGACCAAAAGTTAACTAGGAGCAGCCAGTGTGATGCAGCGACAAAAAGGGCTAATGTGATCTTGGGGGTCAGACTGCACCTGGAGTATGGTGTGCAGTTCTGGAAGCTTCACTTCCAAAAGGACGTGGACAGAAAGGAGCGGGTGCAGAGGAGAGCGACGAGGGTGATCAGGGGCCTGGAGACCAAGCCCTAGGAGGAAAGGCTGAGGGACTTAGGGATGTTCAGTCTGGAGAAGAGGAGGTTGAGGGGGGACAGGATGGCTCTCT